TAATTGTATGAGGTTTTGAGGTGCTGTTGGCGAGGAAGTGCAGGGAAATGGAGAAGGTGACAGCGACGAAGCGGTGGATATGAATGTGAAGTTGGAGAAGGTGATGAGGGAAGATAATGGAGGTGACGGCGGTAGGTGTCGGTGAATATGGTGATGTGCATGCGTCCCAACAGTGGATATGGGTGAAAATGAGGATTCATGTCGCATACGACGCTAGTACATGCGCGTGGAAGGTAAATGGACACCTTGGTGCTTGTAAAGTGACGCATGGAAGCGTGCATGTGAATATGGAGCGGGAGATATCTGCATGTCTGTATGTGAAGGCATCGAGCGGTCCTGTAATACTACATGGAATATATAGTGTTGTAGGTGCAGTGAACCCTACCCCGCGTTGATTCCTGGCCTCACGTTTTTGAAATACAAAGGTAGTTTTACGCAAAGTAGTATGGTAGGAACACACAATATTACAGTAGTTTCACGCAATGATTATGCATCACACACAGAAGTCCAGCAATCGACACAAATACGTGGTACATGAAGTACACGAACGGTATTATCATCCAATCACACGCCCTCATTACCAGCCTCCCCAACAGGAACCAAAGCAGCGCTTCTGTTGGCCCCACTTGTGAGTCACAAGTTGTGACCGAGTTTCAGGATGGCTTGGAGACGGCGTTCGGACAGGAAGTCGTCATACGCAATCTACATGCACAACAATGGTAACAACAACGTACTGGGACTTATGTTGGTATAACGTTTCCTGATTTGATGCTATGTGCTTGAATGTATTGGTAGAAGAGGGGACGTTCAAGAGTTTTTGGGCTGTAACTCGGCGACAACACGTGGATAGACGGTCGCTATAAGTAGGTTTCGTACGCGCTTTTGGAAACTACAAGACACAGAGGTTGGTGGTGGCGTAACTCGGCTAACTGTGATGATATTTTATGAAGTGTTGGCGAAGATTGACTTCGTATTGTGAATATAAGCCATAACTCGACAACAACGCCTCGGTAGAAGCTCGCCGTATCAGGGTGCTCCTGAAGAGGCCCGTCTTTTAGAACTTATTCTAGGATTTAGTGTGTTCTAAAGTTAAACAATCATGCTCACCATCTACTAAATATGAACTAAAGTGTCCGAGATAAACTCGCTTTAATACTTTTACTCCACTATTACGGATAATCGGGATTAGCATTTACAGAGATGTTAATGTTCCGTGATGTCCTCAACAATGTCTCTCCCTCCCGAACTTGCATATAGAATTTTGGATGTGATTAATTCCAATAGGTCGATCGTATGCAGTTTCTCACTGAGACATGTGATTTGCAGAAAGAGGTTAGAGTTTAAAATATAAGTATGCACGGGGAAGCTTCCCTGTTCTCATTTCGAGATCTGCCCCGCATCCAAAACATCCACTCCTCCTGACCATCAAGAATTCCTCTGTGCAAGTTTGCATGATTGGACCAAGAGCGGGCGGTCGGCACAACTATACGATATTACTATCTTGTGTTATCATCAGATGGATAAAGATGAACGTAGTTACGTGTCTAATTACATCCTGAAGTACGGAATCTCACTAATCTAGTGCTGTGAAACGAATAACCGCTCGAAGCAATCGTACTGGAGCACTCAATCGTCATCTACCTCATCTCATCGTGCTTTATTGGCCCCGGGCAATTTCTCAAGCGGTACGGTAACTATTGCAATATTACGGCTGTCACGACTATAACGATTGTAAACTGGCATATACTGTAGTGAAAACGGCCGTGATCAAGACGAATATCACTTCCGTTGCACAGTGCTAGTAAAGAAAGCAGGCCTCTAGGTAAGTCACTGCTTTAATGCTATGAAATATATTACTAACTGGTCGATGGCGTTGTTACGTGTACTATAGAATATATTCTTACGCATGCACCCGAACTTAGTTGTGAATCCCCGTTAGCCTATCCCGGACACTACGCAACTACTCAAAAATCTTATAACCGAGGTGTTGTCTACCGTCAACCAGCTAATCTCCGCCAATTGTTCATGTAAAACGTTGGTGAACATCTCGAGGTCAAGGCCTACAAGCAATCGCGCAGACAATTGACGTGTACGCTAACTACACCTGGAACACTAGAAAGTCCAAGTATAAATCAAATGCTGAGAATTTCAAGACTAACCCCTGGGGTTGTTGCAATGACCGATGCAATTACTGACAGAATGTTCGGAGCGGAATAATAACAAGAAAATTATTACGCATGGGTCATTCTTGTTGGACTAATTTAGGTGATACATGTTCTAATAATATGGCGAAGTGTTACCTACTAAGGTGTTTTACTGTTGTATGACCAGGTGAATATCAAAAAGGCCGGTTAGTGAAACGACAAATCCTAGCTCATGTCTTCGTTGGTATCCAAGTGTAGATATATGAAAGATGTTCTACTGTAGAAAAATGATGGGGATGTTGAAATGTAGGCAATGTCTTTCTGTTACATCAAAAATAACGGTTTCGCAGGGAGATCTCAATTCATAAATTTATGAACGGTTTATGTATTGCACATCACCCCAAGGTTGACCGATCAGGAGTCTCATAGAAGACACGTGAAATGAGAAAGGGCTGGAACCATATTTAGTACTAATTTTCAGGTATACGTTAATTCATATATTATGAATTTCGGATAATCTGGAATATCCTTCGGGTTAAAGGGGTTAAGTGTATATTTGGCATATACATTGAAACCGTAATTACTTGAAAAAAGTGAGTAACTGAAATATGAGTTCGTTTTCGCGAAAACTAGGAAGTTTAGCTCATATTTCAAAGAGTAGCAAGTATTTATCGCCTCACTGAGGTGCTATGTGTTTATAAGTTATTCTCGCAGCTATATTCAGCGAGTTTAATCCTGGAGCAATTGTCATTTTCACTCAACGAGGGTTCACAAAGAGCTCAAATAACCAACTTAAGAACGTTAAAAAAAGCGGGTCTGTTCTTCAGGGGAGCCGTGAAAAAAATAATGAGCCCACCAATTTCATGTTAATGATTGCTCTCTAAAGGTTGAAAACTTATCTAGATTTATATTTGACGGTCTGTTTCAGAGATTAAGTGGTTTGACTCAAGTATTTCCTCAACTATGAGGGTGGTGCGTGAGATTGTGGAAACGCCTCAAACTGACCCGTGCCTGTACCGTAGTTATGAGTGAGACTGATGAAAGATTCACCGTTCGAAGGTCTAAAACATAAGTAGCGGATGTATATTTGTATGTTAAGAACTTTTGGTATTGTATTTGGTAATTTAATTAAGCAAAGCGTGGCCTGGAGTTTTGACTTCAGTCATAATGGTGATTTTAGAGAAGTGAGTCACACGCTAACGCACTAACCTCCTATCAGCCAAGCGATGCCGCTTCGCGGTGGAAGTTTTGTGGTTAGCCTGAGGTGAAGGCAACATGTCTCTGCTTCGCTTCAGAGGGGGGGGGTTCCTGTGCAAACGTCAATATACATAAATAATAAAAAAAACATTCACATTGTCGAATTTGAACCGACGACGTTAGGATTAGAAACCTGGGTTCCTACCGCTGACCTATTCGCAAATCTGGCGGATCTCCAAGTTGTAGTTCGACAGATCACTGTGGTGAAGCGAATTGCAGCTTCGCAGACCACCGAGCTTTCAAGGCCAACTGGCACAAGAGCTTTCAAGGAAAACTCAAGTCGGACCAGGATTGGTCGATAATACTCCCCGCGTCCTAGTGACGGAGTCACTATTACAACCGTCCGAGCCCTCGGCCATCCTAATATAACCTGGCTGGGGGCAATTCAGGGTTATCCTAAATTAGGATTCGGTGCCTAGAATGGGCTCCTGAACCTTCGGTCATCCTAATATAACCTGACCGAAGGCTCCTGGATTAGGCTAAAGTAGGGTTTGTCCTTATTTAGCGAGGTTTCGTTCGGATCCAGGAATGATGGTGACTCGTACTTACGCGAACCTTCGGTCGGACTACCAACAGTGTGTAGAAGGGCGACCGAAGAGTGTCACACCAGGATGGGTTAGACTAGAGATTTGTATAGGAGTAGGACTCATCAATTGATGAGCTAGAGTAGGGCTCTTGGAGCCTCTCATTATTCAGTAATAAAAAGCAGTTCTCAGCAGACTTAAGGTACATTGAACCAAGCGTCTGTCTGCTAGGTAAGGCCAAGAGGAGAGTGTGGCCGTGTATAGAACGTTAGCGAAAGCTCGTTCAGTGTGTATTTGTGTGGACAGAGGGTTCTCACATACACTAGACTTCCTACCGAGGATTCCCTAGGTGCCCCTGTAATAGGTTTGCGAAAACCGGTACCCTTATCCTGAGGAACTGCAGTGGGTTTGCGCGTAAGCGCTAAATATATCTCCTAGTCCTCGTTCGTGGCTAGGTAGGTTTCTTAAGGGTTGACCGAAGGCAACCCGGGGTACACAGAGGCTAGTCCAACCCGGTGTAAGGGATCGTTCCTGGTCTTCAGGTATTGATCCATCAAATCACTAACCCTTGCGGGGAAGTGTGTGTTGTTGGTAGGAACTCACCCGAACGTGATAATTCTATCGTGTCCTACACGACCTCACCAGGCGCCCCCTGTCAAGATTCAACAGGAGATCCAGGCAAAAGATCAATCCATGGCATTCGGCCTCGTTCACGGTCATCTCGGTGGCGTATACCGACGACATGGTGATGATGGTTCACTCAAGCGGCTTCCAGACACGGCGCTGTATGCTTTTCCTCCACGCTTCACCCGTGTGGATCCGTCGAATCTCACGACGATCAGCTCCATGTCCAGCTCGACTATTGCGTGGGTGCGGCGATCTCTTGGCGAGGCTGCTTCTTCGGAGAGACTGCCGCCAGAGCTTTGTCAGCTTCTTCGCGTGGAGTGATGCTCGTAACCAGCGTTCCCAAGACCTTATCTTCGCTTTTCGTGCACTCCACGATCTTCAACGTCCACTTTGACAGGAGAGCTGTCCATGAACCAAAGCGACCTTGCCGGCGTGAAGATTTGAGCAGTCAAGCCAGCGTCGAGTATCGTGACAGCGCCTTGAACGCTTTGGCGACCAACATGGTGTGGCAAATGTTGAAGATTCTTTGCAAGGCAAAGACCTCCTTCACGACAATCCCGTAATTGAGCTCGTTCGTCTTCAAGATGCGACTGGTGAAGGTCACTGGCCAGAATACACCGTTATGTTCCTGCATCAGAGCCGCGGCGATCGCCCACTTATTCGCGTAGACAATGATCCCTGGTGGGCGATCCGGGTCGAAATGTTTCAAAATTGGAGTTGACACGACCTTCGCTTTCAGCATGGTGATCGCGACGGTGGCTCCCGTCCAGCCGTCCTCTTCGGTATTTGCTTGTTCTTCGTCTCCTGTCTGTACCTGACGATCCACGATCTTCGCTTGGCGGTGCAATTCAAAGAAGTCCGACTCGCGCAGCTTGTACAAGATCGCGGCGTACACAGCGAAATATTCGATGAAGCGGCTGTAATAAATCAAGGTAATGCGGGTCTGCGTGAAAGGCAAGTTGCACAGTGATTCCAAGTCCATGGGATGAGCTTCCAGTCCTTCGATCGAGACTCGATGACCAAGGTAATCCACCTTTGTTGCCCCAAGAGCTATTCACCGCGCTGATCGACCAGTTCCAACGATAGCACGCGTCGAACAGCCCTTCAACCTTCTTGAAGAAATTACCCCAAGCGATGGCCGTGACCAAGATGTCGTCGATGTACGATCATCACCCCAGCACCAAAGATCCATGATCTGTCTCCGGCTCGCCCGAGGTGAATTCATCTGTTTTGACTTCGGCGTCCTTGGCATTTCCAATCTTGGGAAATCCACACTGGGCATTCGAGAATCCACTGGTAGATCTGTGGTGCGTTTTTCGATCCAAACGACATGGGAGTCCACGCGAACAATCCGAAAGACGTAATAAACGCCGAGATCTTCGGCGCTCGCTCCATCATCTGCACTACCCAAAATACGCTCGCCATTTCAAGGAACAGTACCCAAGAACTTTTTCAAGATCCTCCAAGGGATCGTTGATCAGCGACATGGCGTATCCCATCAATCGAGTGAGCGAGATCACAAAGGGATAGTCAACGCAGAGGCGGATGTCGACACCGTTCTTCTTGATATTGGTCACATCCATGGAGCAGTGGAAGGGACGATATTCTTCGCAACCAGCAAACCCTTGATCAGGTCGGATAATTCCTCATGATTATGCGGTGCTACACTATGCGATTGGAGCCTCGCTTCCTTCATCGATGTCGAAGGCCGCTTCAACAGCCGCTGGCGGCAAGCCGTTATTTTTCCCGATTAGAAGGTGGTTCCTTCTCAATATGATGCGTCTGAGGTGTTTGGTCTCCTCTGGAGAGTTCCACGCGGGATACCCGGATTCGATGTCTTCGATCTTGACTTCTTCGGTCGTGTTCATGAGTTCTGGTAGGTCAACCATCTGTCCGTCACGATATTATGCCGAAAGGCTTCCGCCGTCATAGTAATACCGTTCAGCATCCTCCTTGGTAACTACGGTTCTTCTGGTGCATCGGCCTTTCCTGGGGTTCTGCAGCAGTAATACCTCCGTTGGCCACTAGTGGCTCGGTCCAACGTGTAGACGCCGCTGGGACGATTCGTCGGGAAGTCGTTTCATCTCTTTTCAAGATATTCGTTGGAGGGTCGTACTGCGGGCACTCCTCTAGCGGTTCGGATGATGGGGAGGCTCATCACGGTCCTGTAGCTCGGCCGTCGCTTCGAATGCTAAAGGTTGCCACTCAGTATATCTACGTGACCCGACCAACATGTGACCTGGTACGCGTTGGAACAAGATATTTGGTAAGCAACATCCCCACCTCAGTGCTCCGAGACAGGCGCTCAAAAGCGCCAAGAGTAGTGGTCCGTAATTTTTGTCATCTGCATCCAAGCTCCTTGACGACGGCAGGTACCCATTGTCCTCCACCCACGTTCCAAAACTGCCCTCCTTCTAACACGCGTGGTGGTTTCAGGGGAACCTCGACAATATATTCCAACGGGGATCGCAACGTCGTCTTCCAACAGCAGCGAGTGTCTGCTTCGACCGTACGGCGGGCGTCGTCCTGACATCTGGATCCTGACTTTGTCGTCCAAACGCACCGTACCGTCTGAGAGATCAAGACGTATCCCGGCTGGGACATGAAGTCAATGCCCAAGATCGCATCATCACCTGTCAAGGCGCCAACTGAAGCATCGAAGTAATACATCAAATACAACGTGATTTGATAGTGGTAAGTCTCAATGCCGTATACATATTCTCTCCGATTCCAACCCGTTATTGTCGCTGACTTTCAAGCGTTTCCAGCACGCAAGATAGGAGTGTCTCGTGGACCCATAATGAGAACATTTCTCCACTTGATCGTCATTCCGCCGGCGGAAGGGCTGCTCCGTGTTGCTTGGATAGCCTGAATATTGCGGTGAGGTTCAGGCTTAGTCTCAGATCTCAGACTTGAGTTGGTCTGCAACTGCAGCAAAGTAGACTTGAACTCGACTGTGATCCAGGTCCGATTCTCTTGAGTCTGGATCTGACCCCTAACCGTCGCTGGCGATCGCCATGCGGATGGCACGCACCGCGCGAGTCGGCTTCGACGAGGCTTGCGGAGGTGCTGGTGGAGCTCTCTGACGATACTTGGTCGATCCTGCGGCTGCTTTGCCCAGTCACGACGTCGCGCGATGGCGTATACGCAACACGTCTGCCAATACGTCCTCATCAGGAAGGCGTAGCATGGCCAACCGGTCCGCAAAATCGCCATCATCCAAAATCTCAATGAAATGCTCCACGTGTTCTCAGAGAGCAGCCGGTGTTCCAGTCTTGAACGACTGCTTGGCTCGGAGGCCCAACGCAGTTAATCGATGGAGATACTCGAGTGGTGACCCGTCGGATCTGATAGTACTGCCTCGTAAAGGTAACTCCAAGTCCACAGTATTCAACTCGCAATCCACCCAAGAGTTCCTTCCAACTGCCACTGGTTGTTCTTCCCAACTGCTGGTACCTGTTTCTCGCAGGGCAAGTGAGCCGAAAACGATGCATTTCACGGTATCAGGAGCATGGCCACGGATTCACGCGGACTTCACTTTATTCAGACAACTTCGAGCGCGATCTTCGACGGTGTCCCTGCCAGAGAACACATTCAGTTCGGAGATCGCCGACATTTGAACTCGGGGGATTACTGCGGAGCTTTCACGTGACCAGCTGCCACTGCTGAAGAAACGACAGCTCAACGTGGGATGTCGATGCTCAAGTCGTCAGGATTGTTCTCACCCGGGGATGGCGGGAATGATTCGATCGATTCCATGTCGACATCTGACACTTCTCGCACCCTGGACTGTTCACGACACTTCTCCTCAGACGGCTTCTTCAGGAAATGACCCATGACCGTGTTGAAGAACGACTGCATGCGATCCGGACGGTGGGGATTTTGTGTTGGTTTGGCCGCCACGGCGGCGTCAACTGGCGGCTTCTCTTCCTTGATCTTTCTCGCTTCGATCATGGCCGCACCAGACGACCCAAGTGTCATCCTCACAGACTTGTTTGAGTTGTCTGACCCGAAGTCCTAGGACGCTGATCTTTCGCGGACGTGAATCCTGAATGTGAGGAGGCCGATGTAGGGTGTTTTCCGACGGCCCTAAGGCTAGACAGCAACGCCGTCGTCCCTACCAGCAGCTTCAGTAGCTTGAAAAGGCGTTTCAACGACTCTTAAACGGTGGTCAGGCTGAACCCGAACACCTCTTCCGAAACGAATACCCCGGTGACGACCCCGGCTCCCTCTAACATGTTCAAGATCGCGACCATGAGGTCAGATGCTCGGTGATGGAGGGTGACGGGACATTAGAGTTCTCTGATCAGCTTCGTCTTCATCACTATCATCCTGGGATCTTCCAGAAGGAACCCATTGAGCTGCTTCCAGTAGAAGAACTTCTGCAGCTGATCCAGAGTCCAAGTCCTGACTATTTCAATCTACTCCACGTCGGGTGCTCTCACCCTCGGCTTCTCAAGCTTAGACGGTGCCTTCTTCTGGGCGGAGACGCGGGAAGTAGGGGGTGTGGTTGTGGGAGAAAATCGCTCGGTTTTCACGGATGGATCCTCATCCGATGGATCACGATTCGCATCGCAATCTGCGGGGGGGGCGAAGGGTCCAAGAGAGGATGGTGAGGATTCTCTTCTCGGTCCATCACTGACCCTGGCTCCTGTTCCTCGTCGGAGTTCCTCGCAGCGCTCTGGCGTTTTGTGTATCCGTCAATATTCAGATGTGATGACGGCGATTCATCTTCCTTCGTCGCGCCGATTCCTGGCTCATCTTTGACCTTGTCATCATCCAGGATGGACTTACATTGATATCAGGAGTCACCAGATATTCCAGGCACGAGCACCATTGTGGCGTAGAAGCTCGCGAGGAAACTCGACCTGAGGAGCACCATCACCTGGCGGCCGAACTCCCGACTGACGGAGTGGGTATTCCGCTTGCCGTGGGGGTTCTGAAAACTTGCTCGTCTTGTGTACCTATCGGGTTGGACGATCACGATCTCCTTTGACTTGAAAAAATGCCGGGCTTGATCTGGGATGAGGGGGTGTGGATGGCATTTGGATTTCGTCTTGAGTGCTAATGGAAGCCCTTCACTAGCAGTCGTTAGGGTTGTCGGTCTAGGTTGTTGTAGATGTTCGGAGCCCTAATGGTGTGCTTCCAAAGCCCTATATTTCCCACTTCGTTGCTTGACGGTTTGCTTCTGGTGGTGAACTTGAGGGGTGAGTACAGAGTGAGGCAATCCCGGGCAAGCTATTCAGGCGTTCTTGCGCGACTTCCTTGTAGACAGCGGAGATTCTGGGTCGTGAGAGAGGGCCAACATACTTCCTATCTCTGGGAATAGGTAGGACGCTTAAGGCTTGATAAAGAAGAACTCTCGCTTAGTTGTTGAGTGTTAGACTACTCTCTTGTCTCCTTCTTGATGAGAAGAACACTAATTATACAACTCCCCAATACCTTCCTCTGAGTATCCCCAGGCTAGAACGTCTCCCTGCCGTCCGTTTGCAAACTGGCTCCACGATCGTACTTAGTACAAACGGTACCGGTCATGTGGAACACTTTAGTCTTCCAGCCACGCGATCTTCCAGGCATGCGATTTAGCCAGCACTGTACCGTCCGGACCTCCACAACCTTTCCAGCACTGAACCACTAAAATGGTACCGTGATCAACCCAACATTGCACCGTGAACGTGGTACATACTATGGAGATCCAGATTTCCCGCAAACAAGAGATCTGCCTCACCAAAATGGAGAAGGTAGGATTTATACTCAGAAGCGATTCGACCCGTTATTAGGGTCGTCAGAGGTGGCAGCATACGGAAGGTACCCTTGCACACGAACATTGTAGACACCACTTCGACTCCGTGTAATACTTTGTCGACGATTAGAGGCCAGAATCGGGACGATTCCATTGAAGTAAATACGGAGACGTTGTTGCTGTGGGCACGAATTAGTTGCTTGAATCCCGGATTGCGACTGAGGCACCGTAGCTCAACAGGTGGGCTGCGAACACCAGGAACACTCACCAATCCACTGCAACAGCAGCTTCCGTCGCTTTGATTTGGAAACTTCGAAGCGTTGCAATGTGAACAGACTCGCTCGTGTTCCCGAGTATTGTCCGTGTACCGGAAAAGTAATGGCAACATCCAGGAATGATGGAGGGGCCGAAGGCTTCGTAGTCCAATAGTCCTTTCTGATATTTATGTGACCGCGCCGAAATTGTTTAGCTTCTTGTGACATTCGTGCTCTTCTTATGTCATTGTATCTGGGGCCGCTTGGCGAACAGCGGTATTTTGCTCTTGTATAGCTTATCACTCCTCCTCTGTCATGGCATTTTGTGCTGCTTGTCGAGCAATTGTGCCGTGCTCTTGTACGACGCGGGGCTCTTCCACTGCTATATCCTCCCTCCGCACTCAATTCCCTTCCGCGTTCTGCCTCCTTTCTTGTTCCTGTTGCTCAGTTGAGAGCACGTCTCTTCGATTGCTCTGAAAAACTCTGTTATACTAACGTAAATCTATCGCTTCAAAACGATTCATCGCCTCCTTCGAGCTCTTGCTCGGTCTCTATCCTGTTCGTGATCTCGTTCGACCTGATACTC